TGAAAACTGCACATGGCTTGTTCCAGCCATCCAGCCAAATTCTCATACTGTGAGTGAATTTACAAGTCTAAGCTGCACAACTAAATTCACAGTGTAAAGGAAGTATTAATATCACCTACATTTCCTTCTTTGTATTCAGTAATTTTTTTTCTGGCAATTCTTGCTGATTGTCTGTCTTTAAAGAATTCTGATGTTTCTGTCTCCATAAATTAGTCCAGCACTCTGAATAAGTTAAAACTTTTACTCCAGCAGAGGACAAAATCTTTGCTTGCTTAATGGACCCGAAGGAGATAAAAAGCGAAGTACCTGAATTCATGAGTACATTTACAGTCATAAACCCTTCATTACCAAGGTAATTCTGCACACCCAGTACTTCAAGAGATTAAAAAAAATAAATAAATTACACTGAGTGAGCTGTTGCCGGGGTGACAGAAATGAGATGATGTGTGAAATGACTGAACTGAGGTGGTAAATGATAAGAAAACAGATTCATGACTGACAGGATGTCTGGAAAGGGAAGGGCCTGACTGCAGGCATCTGGGGAATCTCACCCCTCTCCTCCTTCCTCTGCTCCCCATTGTAATAAGTCTCCAACCCATAGAAGACATCAATATGAGTGCTCCAGATTCACGCTAGGCTTCCCCTGACAAGTTTGCTCGGCACTAATCTGCAGTATAAAGCAGCTCTACACTGAACCTCTGCCTCTTTCTGAAGTGAAAATCACAGGGCTGTGAAGCAGAGCCCATGACACCTAGAAGAGTAAATAAAACTCTTTTACTCTGCTTCCTTCCCTTCTCCTGGAAGCCTCACTCCACCCCCAAGGGTCAGAAAACCTGATGTGTGTGTTCCATCATGTATCTATGAGCTAACAGCTCTGATGGTTAGGGCACAGTGCTGTTCATTGCCAGGACTATATAGCATCATAGAATCACAGACTGGTTTGGGTTGGAAGGGACATTTCAAGGTCATCAAGTCCAGCACCCTGCAGGGAGCAGGGACATTGCATCTAGAGCAGGGTGCTCAGAGCCCCGGCCAACCTCCCCTGGGATGGTGCCAGGGATGGGGCAGCGACCACCTCTCTGGGCAGCCTGGGACAGGGGCTCACCACCCTCAGGGTCAAAAATTTCTTCCTTCTCTCTAGTCTGAATCTCCCTCTTAGCTTCAGACAATCACCACTTGTCCTGTCACAACAGATCCTGCTAAAAACATAGTCCCCATCTTTCATATTGGGCCCTGGAAGCCCTGGCAGCCCCCAGGGGGGCTCCCCAGCTGGAGCCTTCTCCTCTCAGGCTGCCCCAGCTCAACTCTCTCCTGCTGGGCTCCCAGCAGAGGGGTTCCCTCTCGGGTCACTGCTGTGTCCCTAAAGGCACCAGGCCAGTACCCGCACGGCTCGCTGCCCGTACCTGGCGGTGCCCGGCGATGGTGGCGATGTGCAGGGCGGTGAGAGCCCCGTAGCCCACCTGCTGGATGTCTGCCCCGCCGTGCAGCAGCGCCCTCAGCAGCTCCGCGCTGTCCTGCGGGGAGAGGCACGGCTGTGAACCCACCCGCTCCC